CCTGATGCTGGGATAGATTGAAGGCAGGAGGAGAAGGGGACGACAGAGGATGAGATGGTTGGATGGCATCACCGACTCAATGGAGATGAATTTGAGTAAGCTCTGTGGTTGGTGAAGGACAGGGAGGCCTGGCGTGCTGCGGTCCATGGGCTTGCAAAGAGTCGGACACGACTGAGCAACTGAACTGAACTGAACATATATACAACCAAATATTACACAGCTGCAATGAGGAATGAAACTGAGTCATTTGCAGGTTTTTATTTGCATTAGTAACAAATTCTAGAGGACCCAGAATATCGTGCATCAGATATATAATAGCCAGTATGGGTAACAATATGGATAATTGTATAACATGTATTGTGTTGAGTAGGTCCCATGCAATGGATTCCTCTTTCATAATGTTCACCAACCAAGTTTATTATTAACGCTACAAACTTCTTGGCTTCCCCAGCAGCTCAGCAATAAAGAATCCACCTACCGTTGCAAGAGATGAGAGTTCGATCCCTGGGTCAGGAAGATTCCCTGAAGAAGGAAATGGCAACCCACTCCCGCATTCTTGCCTGAAGAATCCTGTGGACAGAGGAAGCTGGTGGGCTACAGTCCACGGCGTTGTAAAGAGTCAGAGGCAACTGAACACACACACACACTCCCTACAAACTTCTTGGGAAGTAGAGAAATACTCTCTTTTATAAATAAGCCTGAAATCTGTTCATCTGAAAATAGATTTCTCTCTGATAAATCGTACAGATAAATGTTCCCCAGGGAGAGTCTCCCACTCACAGGAATGGAAGTGGAAGATGTGGAATCCAAGTGGAAGAGGAGTCTAACTCCACCTCCCTAGTTTAAAGGGCTTTGCAAACCCTTGCTTCCATCTGGTCCATGTTCCACACCCCTCTGCCTGGGGACCTGGCTTCTTGGTTCATTCCTCCAGCTGCCCCGGGCTGGACTTCAGGCTTTCACAACAGACAGGCTCAGAGAGGTCGCTACCCTGCCTGAGGCCACACAGCACAGCCCCGTCTGACTCCAAGCCCCTGAGTCCCTCTCTCCGAAGCTCCAGCCCCGCGCAGGGTTGCGGTCCCTTGCTGTTCGGAGAGTATATGTGTGCCCTTTGTGCAAAAACGTTCCATCTGCCTTTTCCCACCGCCCGGACCTCCGGGGACACGGGTGCTCGGCTGGGGTGTGCGGGGGCGTGCCGCTAAAGCCCGTGAGAGTCATTTCCGAGGTTGATCACAGTGATAACCGTGCCCCCGGGGGCGCAGGGGAAAGACGGCGGGGCATGGGGAACATGGCGTAGTCGGAGAGAGAGGGCAGATAGCATCTCTGGCTCACGGCCGTCCTGCACAACAGCCGATATCTCGGGGTGTGTTAGGGGTGTAGCGTCACGGACATCCACCATCTCAAAGAAGCAAAAACGTGAGGAGAAGCGCTCCGGTGCTGGGTCGGAGTGCGGGGGAGTTGGGGGTAGAGTCCCTTGACCCGACTTACCTCTTTGGAATTGATGGTCAGGGAGCTCCGACTGGGGCGCAGCGGAGGTTTAGCAGAGTTGTGTTCTCATGGCGGGCGTGTACACGCTGAATGAGGAAGGGAGACCATGCACCGCCGCCCCCCACCCAACCCCGGGAGAGACCAGACTTTGTTCCAGCAGAACCTTTGGCCTGCAGCTCGGTGACAAACGGGCAGGGCCGTCTTCTGGACCCCTTCCTGAGACCCCCAAGCCTCAGAGCTCAAACCCCCCACCCACCCAGCCAGGGAGCAGGAATTTTAAACCTCAGGGAGGTCCCCAACTCCCCACGGCTGACCCTCTGCATGAAGATGGACACTGCAGCTCCCTGGAAAGGGGCCCGGGCCCCCTCACTCCACAGTCCACCAAGGACAGGACCCCTGGTCCCCTCTCCAGGGTTTCAGCCACACGCTTGGCTGCTTGGTCATATCTGACTCTTTGCGACCCCGTGGACCACAGGAGGCAAGGCTCCTCTGTCCATGGGATGCTCCAGGCAAGAACACTGGAGTGGGTTGCCACGCCCTCCTCCAGAGGCTCTTCCCCACCCAGGGGTCGAACCTGGATCTCCCCCGTTGCAGGCGGATTCTTTACCCACTGAGCCATCAGCGCCTAAACCTTAGCCCTGGAACTTAAAGTGCAGCTTTATCTTATACCTTAAATGTTAAGGTTTCTGACACAGCGGACCTCAGCCCTGAGCATAAATCAGGTTTGGTATCACAGGGCCCCTTATGGTTCCCTGGGGGGGAAGGATGGGGGAAGAGATAGTTAGGGAGTCTGGGACGCGAGTTCAGTCCCTGGGTGGGGAAGATCCCCTGCAGGAGGGCATGGCAACCCACTCCAGCATTCTTGTCTGGAGAATCCCATGGACAGAGGAGCCTTGCAGGCTACAGTTCTAAGGGTCGCAAAGTCGGACACGACTGAAGCAACTTAGCACAGCGCAGCACATGGCTGATCCATGTTGATGTAGGCCAGAGACCAACACGATATTGTCGTTATCCTTCAATGAAACATAAATCAATTAGAAAAAAAAAAGTGGTGGAGTGTTGAAAGCCATCGCACAGAGGGATGGAGAGTAATGTCCTGCCTCCCTCATTTCATCGATGCCTGTCTAGAGACGAAGCAGGCAAAACAGGGTCAAACCCAGGGCTCCCGTGAGAGCTCTGAGCAGGACGGCTCAAATGCATCCACATCCTCCTTTCTCTGAACTATTCAGAGGGCCGTGGGATGCAGTGGTTTCAGAACAAAGCAGTTTTTCTCAAACAGGATGTTCTAAACTTTCTCTCGGCTCACAAAAGTCCCTGACCCAACGCTACCACCCACCTTGGGATCTGCCTCGCGGAGCGGTGACTTTTGGGGTCCCCGCACCCTGATTGGAGACCCGGCACACCACCTCTGACCCAGGAATGACACTTCCATACCAGGAGCGCCCAGCCTCCGGGGCAGGCGGGGTGGGGGGACTGACTGCAGCTGGAACCCTGGCCCCAAGTTGCAAAACCCACGTCCCACAGATACAAGACACGTGGTGGTGTTTTCTGGAAAAGGCCCGGGGAATGGGTGGCTGAGCTGAAAAAACAAAAAATGGGGTGAGAGTCTTTCTCCGTTTGCAATACCCTGTCAAGCGGGCTTCCCGCGATGGGTGTTGCATTCTGGTGTCAACTGAAAATCAGTGAGCACCGGAAGGAAGAGAGTTATTTTATTGGGTGGGAGTGTGTGTGGGAGTCCTGCGCCCCGGGGGGACAGCATCTCCGGAGCTCTGAGAATACAGCTCCGAGTAGGCGAGAGGGGGAGTCAGGCTGTGTGCAAGTTTGCAACAGAGGGAGCAGGCAGGTCTGAACATCAAAGATCAGGTATCAAGTGAAGGAATTTAGCATTCTGTGTAAGGGAGGATGCAAGCTTCTGGGCTCACTGAATTCTTTCCTTTCAAAAGCACTTCTGCTGTCTGGAGCCAAGCCTGTTTCCTTGTTCACCTTAAAGAGTGAGAGAGGTCACAGATGGCTGATTGTTGCATTTTCCCCAGCTCCTCAGCCCCTTATCAACCACCGTGGGGTGGGGGTGGGGGGTGGCATCTTCTGGATCACAGGTTTGGGAGCTCACATTCGTATTTGTCCCTTGGACGGCAAGGAGATCTAACCAGTCCATCCTAAAGGAAATCACTCCTGAATATTCACTGGAAGGGACTGATGCTGAAGCTGAAACTCCAATCCTCTGGCCACGTGACGGAAAGAGCTGACTCACTGGAAAAGACTCTGATGCTGGGAAAGACTGAAGGTGGGAGGAGAAGGGGACGACAGAGGATGAGACGGTTGGATGGCATCCCCGATTCGATGGACATGGGTTTGGGTGGACTCTGGGAGTTGGTGATGGACAGGGAGGCCTGGCGTGCTGTGCTCTGTGAGGCTGCAGGGTCAGACAGACACCAATTGGTGACTGACCAACATTCGCATGTGGAGGGGAGAAATCACCGATGGCTGTGACACGTCTCGTTTGACACGGCGGGAGGTATTTACACTTCACACTGGCTTGCTGTTTGTTCACTGATAAAGGTGACCTCTGTTTCCTAGGGTGGGGAGACATTCTGCTAAATTAGACATCCTCGAGACCACATACACACACACAGACTCCAGGTATATCTGATCAAGCTTGTTTACTGCATCCTGCAGACACAGACAAGATAAAGTCAGTACCAGCCTGAAAAAAAACAAAAACAAAAACCGAGAAATCAATACTCTAGACGTCTAGAAAGCTCCTGAACCTGAAGTCTAAGGGGATCAAACTGCTCCTGTCTCCACAGACAGCAGCAACCCGCTTACATTCTAACAGAGTTCTCACGCACACACTTTTTAAAAATTTTCAGTATCAAAAAAGAAACAATAATGTACACTCAACCTGGGACGCTTTGTTCCTCTGGAGCACCTTTACGTTCAAGTATCTCTCAGGACCAAGGGCCTGAGTCACTAGGTAAACGGAACCCTGGTTTGTAAAATGCCTCAGTGACTGTAGAATTTTTTTTCTCTCTCTCCAGGGCGGGAGGTGGGTGGCTGTTCGGTGTCAGTAAAGCAGGTGTTCTGCACCTCGCCGGCTGTGTACGTGTGATGAGTGACAAATGATCCAGAACCCACTTGCGAGTGGAAATGTGGAAAGGACAGGAGCGGGCGGGTGGGCACGTGCAAAGCAGGGTGGCCTTGGTCGTCTTCCCTTATGATTTATGAGAGCCAGGTGACAGCAAGAACCAGCCCGACCAAGCGTCTGCCGCCTACAGGCGGTCCACCTTCAAGCCCTTGGATGTCAGCATGAATGGGATGCATCGGTTGAGGGTGTAGGGGCACTGGATGACCTCAGACACGGGTTGGGGCGTTGGGGCACTGGGTGACCTTAGACGTCAGCATCCTTGGTTCTGGGGAGTCCCCTTTATGGTGGTTTTTTTTTGGGCCCCCAAGATGTTCTCCCATCGTCAAGCATCAACGTAGAGTGGGATGTTGGCTTGTGACTTTGCACCCCCTCATAACATCATGTAAGAGTTGTCACTCATCACAAACGTGAAATCCCCAAGAGAGATCACCCCACGGCCCTGGGGCTGTTGGCGAGGGAGCTGGCCAGAGTCCCCGGCGGCCTCTTCCTCCCCCGTCTGCGGGTACAGCGGGCTCGCCATCACCAGGGTCTTGGGCGTCTCGGCCTCGGCCGGCTGGACGACCACGGCATCTTCGGGGGCGCACTCCAGGTCCCCGTCTTCCATTTTGTTCAAGGGGGCCACGTTCTGCGTGTCCTTGATCCACTCCTGCAAGGAGGAAACATTGCGGCTCACTTCACGAAGCGTGAAATGATGCCGTCTGCACCAACATGGGTGGACGTAAAGGGCGTCATACTGAATGAAGTAAGTCAGAGAAGGAGAACTATCACGTGGTCTCCCTTTCCTGTGGGATCTAAAGAGACATGATACACAGAAACTTACTGGCAAAACAGAAAGAGACTCAAAGGCGTGGAAAACGAAGGTACGGTTGCTGGGGGGGAGGGAATTTGGGAAGGTCAGGGACACGCTGCTGTGTTTAACATGGAGAACCAGCAAGGACCCGCTGGACGGCTCAGGGAACTCTGCTCAATGTCACGTGGCAGCCGGGATGGGAGGGGAGTTTGGGGGAGAATGGCTACGTGTCCACGTATGCCTGAGTCCACTTGTTGTTCACACTGTTAATCATCTATACCCCAATACAAAACGTTTTTGGTGTTAAAAAATATTAAAATTAAAAAAAGTTACTGTGGCTCAGACTCTGTGTCATAAAGGCCTGCCTTCGGAGCTGGTGCGTCTTCGCACACGTCCCCCCGCGGGGACACTTGCCCCGGCTGGGCCACAAAAAGCTCTGGTGTCTAGCGCCTCGGTCCAGAGTCCTGTGGTTTTCACACCTGCCTTTTGTCACCAGCCTCACAGCAGCAGCCTGTGGTCGCTCTAGACGCACGAGGGCGCCTGAACGTCTTTTCAGAAACCCAGATCCGTTCTCCACCCCCAGGGATGCTGTCTGAGATGGGCGTGATGACGTGTCAGCAGGAGGACCCTCCGCCAGCAGGTCCGAGGGGGCGGGCACTGAATGTCTAACCGGCGACCCAAGATTTCCTGAGGTTGGGAGCTCCACGGGACTGCGCTCCTCAAGGGGACGCCTCGCTCCGTTCTAACATCCCTCCCCGGCTCCTTCTTCTGGCCTCAATTTTGGGGAAAAAAATGAGATTCCCTGTCCTAAATTCTGTTGTATACCCCTTTCCCCTCCCTTGAAGGGGACCGGGACACCAGTCCCAAACATGCCCCTTTGACGTCCAGAGGATGTTGACCTGAAGGCAGTTAACTATGAAGAGTCTCAGAGCGTGCTCTCTGCTCTCCACTTATCCTCCCTAAAACTGATATTAACTGATGCCGCTTTGGGAAAGTAAATGTACATTTGGAAGTCGCCCGGTCCCTTCCAACTCCAGAGACAACGCTTATCATCTGAGAGAGCTTGAGTCTGCATAAAATCTTACAAAACAACCCTCATTTCTGATGCATTTCCTAGTCACCTCCTCACATCTCACCTGACCCTCACAGGGCCCCAACCCCTTTTCCTTTAGCTAGTCTCTTCCAAACACTCTATCATCCTTTGTGAAAATGGCAAATCGGCCCCAAGGTCTCACTGCTTCTTCGGGGATGTTCACACCTCTCTCTTTAATCTTTCTGGTCTGTTTAATTTGCATGACCCCAGGGACAGAACATAAGAGGGTAGAAGAAAAAAAAATTTTTTTTTCGTTTCCTCTCCTACACCTAATTAGTTTTACAATTCACTTTGCCCCTCTAGGAAACTGAATGGACTTCCCAGGTGGTGCCAGTGGTAAAAAAAATAAAAGCCTGCCAGTGCAAAGGACCTAAGAGATAGGTGTTCAATCCCTGAGTCGGGAAGATGCCCTGAAGAAGGAAATGGCAACCCACTCCAGTATCCTTGCCTGGAGAATCTTGCGGACAGAGAAACCTCAGGGGCTGCAGTCGATGTGGTCGGAAAGAGTTGGATACAACTGAAGCAAGTGAGCAAAAAAAACAACAACAAAAAAAAAAGAGAAAGAAACTGAGCACTGCACTCTCTTTCCAAAATAATGATATACCCAAGGGCTACCCCCCAGAACCTGGGAACAGGACTTAATTGGGAAACAAGGTCTCTGCCGAGGTGATGGAGTGAAGGGTCTGAGATGAGGCCCTCCTGGACGGGGGTGGCCCTAAACCCAGGGACAGAGTCCTTATAAGACACAGAAGAGTAGAGACACGTGGAGACGCAGGCAGAGACGGGAGGGAGGCGGCCACCAGTCCAGGGACGGACGCCCGGAGCCCCCAGAAGCTGGAAGAGGCGGCGAGGACCCTCCCCTGGAGCCTCTGCAGGGAGCCCAGCCCTGGGGCGCCCTGACCTCAGGCGTGTGGCCCCCGGGACCCGGGCAAGGATGACCGTGTGATGGTTTGCACCGCAGGTTTGTGGCAGCCCCAGGGAACGCACAGCTCTCTGATCCCGGCGTCCTATAAAATCCACGCCTGGTGATGCGAGGAGCCGGACCCCACCTCTCTCCATCCTCCCCAGTCCCCCTTTGCCGCCCCCCCCACCCCGTAAGCGTTTATCACAGGAACAAAGTTAACGACCACAAACGTTGAAAAGAGGAAATGCAGGTTTCGCTGTTGGCCCCCTGCAGTGGGAACAGACTAAGAACGGGACCTCCTGATAAGATCGGAAGGCCAGGAGGCTGGAAAATCCCATGGTCCTGGGGCAGAGGGGACACGCATCTGAGACTAATTTCAAGAGAAGCCGCCCTCGGAGACTCTGGGATCCACTCTCTCTGACCGAGAAAGAGAGAAACAGTAAAACCGCTGCTTTCAGATTGAAGGAGGCTTGCAGGCATTTAAAGAGGAATAAAAGCCATTTGTTTGTTTTTTTTTTTTTCATGAATAGTGAATCAGCCCCAATGTTTATTGCAATCCTGTTTACAATGGCCCAGACAAAGATGCGAGCTAAGTGTCCGACACAGTAAAGAGTGCGCATTTCCTCCTCCAGGGGGATCTTCTCGATCCAGGCATCCAACCCAGGCCTCCTGCTTTGCAGGCGAATTCTTTACCTTCTGAGCCACCGGGAAAGCCCCTGATAAAGGACATGTGGTGTATACATACACACCCTGGACTGTTGCTTACTCATAGAAAGGATGAAATGCCATGTGTCGCAACAGGCATGGACCTAGAGATTCTCATGCTCAGTGAAGTCAGTCACACAGAGAAGGAGAACTGTCATATGACATCCCTTACATGCAGAGTCTAAAGAGAAATGATACAAGTGGGCTTACGGACAAAACAGAAACCGGCTCACAGGCTCAGAGAATGAATTTATGGTTGCTAGAAAGGAAGGGTGTGGGGAAGGGATGGTCAGGGAGTCTGGGATGGACATGGACACACGGCTGTATGTAACATGGAGAACCAGCAAGGACCTGCTGGCCAGCACGGGGAACTCTGCTCAATACTCTGTAATAACCTGATGGTCACCAGGGAAAAGGATGAGGGAAGGGACAGTCAGGGAGTCTGGGATGGACATGGACACGCGGCTGGATTTACCATGGAGAACCAGCAAGGACCTGCTGGCCAGCACAGGGAACTCTGCTCAATACTCTGTGATAACCTGATGGTCACCAGGGGGAAGGATGGGGAAGGGACAGTCGGGGAGTCTGGGATGGACATGGACACACTGCTGTGTTTAACATGGAGAACCAGCAAGGACCCGCTGGACAGCCCAGGGAACTCTGCTCAATACTCTGTGATAACCTGATGGTCACCAGGGGGAAGGATGGGGGAAGGGACAGTCGGGGAGTCTGGGATGGACATGGACACACTGCTGTATTTAACATGGAGAACCAGCAAGGACCTGCTGGCCAGCACGGGAAACTCTGCTCAATACTCTGTAATAACCTGATGGTCACCAGGGGGAAGGATGGGGGAAGGGATACTCAGGGAGTCTGGGATGGACACGGACACACGGCTGTGTTTAACATGGAGAACCAGCAAGGACCTGCTGGCCAGCTCAGGGAACTCTGCTCAATGTCACGTGGCAGCCGGGATGGGAGGGGAGTTTGGGAGAGAATGGGTACATGTGTATGTATGGCTGAGTCTCTTTGCTGTCCAGCTGAAACTGTTATTAATAGGCTATACCGCAATGCAAACTCAATTAAAAAAATACCTCTAAGCAGAAAAAATAAAATATTGCAGAGGGGTGATATTAGGGTCGCCCAGAGCGAGCTTGCACAAGGAGATGCTGCTTACCTGGAAGTTACCTTGGTGGGATTCAAACAGCCCCAAGAAAGAGAACTTGGGATCAGGAACGCTGGGCATGAGAACCTTCTTAATCCTGAAACGGACATGGACAGTCTGGTCATATGGGCTGGCACCCCCCGAGCAGGGCATCCACGTGGAAAGACCCCCATCAGGGGACAAGGGCAGCTGCACATGGGTTTCGGAGACTCAGAACCTTGGCGGAATTGCGTCCGCTTGAGAAAAAAGCAGAGCCAGGAGACTCTCTCTGCTCTCTCTCATCTGCCTGAAAGCAGAACATCAATTTCCCTCCTGATTAAAAAAAAAAAAAGAAAAAAGCAATAATTCCATTAATAAAAGTGCACCCTCTCCTGTAGCAGGAAATGGAGAATGAGTCATATCACCAAGATGGTGTCAGAATGATTCCATTCAGACAAGCTTCATCTGCCTGCAGTTTGTCTCACACGTCTCTTAATCACTTCCCCACAATTTACGCCCATCCAGACTCCCTTTCCCCTTGTCTAGTGACTTCTCCACAGATTATTGCCCTTTGTTAAAATGCTATAAAAATCCCCAGATGAACCGCCTGGTTAGGCGTTCACTTGCTTCCTGTGAATGACTTATGCACTTAAAAATATTACATCAAAAAACAATATATAGACATATTCTTCTGTTACTGCCTTTGGTTGGTCAGTTTAACTTGCAGGCCCCTAGGAACAGAAGCTAAGCGAGGTTCTCATCTGGTAGGATGCTAATCCGATGGGAGTGGGGTCCTTATAATAAGAGGAGGTCAGGACACAGACACATGCAGAGAGGGAGGCGCAGGTGAGGACTCGGAGGAGACGGCCGTCTACACGCCCAGGAGAGAGGCCTCAGGAACAACCAGCCCTGCCCACACCAGGACCTCAGGCTCCAGCCTCCAGGACTGGGAGAAATAAATGTCTGTTGTTTGAGCCCCCATATTTTGGTCCTTTGTTATGGCAGCTCCAAGAAAAAATACAGTTGTTTAGACCACTCATTGTAACAGAAGCTTCCTTAAAGACAGGAGGAGTGGTTTTTTCCCCCCCAAGTGTATTCCTCCGATTCCCTTTGGGGTGATTTCAGTTTTGAATTAAAAACACCAGACCAAAACAAAACAACAACAAAAGCAAAAAAACATCAGACCTGTCACTTGTCAACACCCCTATCTGATGGCTTCATCTCCTCCCAACTTCCTCTGTTCCCAAACAGAGAATGATAACGGTGGCATCTGTCTGAGCTCGTGAAAGCGGGAAATCTAGACTGAAGAATTAATGGGCAATTTGCAAGAATTAAGAGAATTATCCCCATGCTGTATCCAACCGTGATGGAATGTCCTTGAAACTGTCTAACTCAGACTGGCTCAGACCCAGCGTGAGTGGTCCAGAATGGCACTCCATCTTTTTCTACGCATCGCTCCTCTTGTTGCTAGGGAAACGTCAACCTAAGAAATAAAGATGGCGCCCACAGTCCTGGGCATCAGCCCCTTCAAACATCATCAACAATCAAATGCCTGGGCACAACTACGCTTCAAGAAAGCTGGAAATGGCAGCAGTTAAGTTAATGCCTGGAAGGATAACAGAGTGAACTATTTAATATCATATTTTTGAAAGGCTTTCTATGGTTTCAAAGAGTCATGTTTTTCTGTATCTGTAACTGGATTTACAAACCAGACAGGCTTTGCTTGTCCAGTTATCCTCACACCACTCACCAAGTTGCCCAGTTTAATAAATATCCGTAAAAATTAAAAGATGTTCTACATGCTTGTCATTCTAACATGACAGGAGGACAGAGCCTCAGTGGGTGTGCATTTGAAGCAAGGTAATGACAATAAACTTGGACCAGCTACTAAAAAGCAGAGACATCACTTTGCTGGCAAAGGTCTGTATAGTCAGAGCTATGTTTTTTCCCAGTAAGTCATGTATAGATGTGAGAACTGGACAGTAAAGAAGGCTGAGTGCTGAAGAACAGATGCTTTCAAACTGTGGTGCTGGAGAAGACTCTCGAGAATCCTTGGAGAGAAAGGAGATCAAGTCAATCCTAAAGGAAATCAGTCCTGAATATTCTTTGGAAGGACTGATGCTGAAGCTGAAACTCCAATCCTTTGGCCACCTGATGTGAAGAGCTGACTCATTGGAAAAGGCCCTGATGCTGGGATAGATTGAGGGCAGGAGGAGAAGGGGACGACAGAGGATGAGATGGCTGAATGGCATCACCGACTCAATGGACATGAGTGTGAGCAAGCTCCGGGAGTTGGTGATGGACAGGGAGGCCTGGTGTGCTGCAGTCCATGGGGTCAGACACAACTTAGTGATTGAACAGCAATAACACTCTTGGGAATGAACATTCCTGCATCTTACGGTCTTCACGAGAATATTTCTCAACAAGTTCTGCAGGTATCTCCGCACCTTTGACACTATTCACCTGTTTTCTTGTCATATACCATACGCATCAGAGAGAAAGTGATATCCAGCTAAATAACCACACCACACAATTATTTTTTTCTCCAACTCACTACATACGGGAACCAAAGCCCATGTGTCTGAGGATTCCGGCGGGGACATCCTTACCTGTGTAGTTTCCATAGAGACAGAAGCAGAAGGAAGACTGTCAGGAAGGAGACCATTCCAGCAATTAAAATAAATTTGGGGAAAAAGCTGTTTTCCCAGCACGAATCTAAAGGGAAACAGGATGAGGGCTGTTAGGCTTTCAACTTGATACCGGATTGCGCGCTAATCCCCCTCCAGTGCTGTTTTTCTTTCCCTTGAGAATTGTCAGGGTCGGCAGATCTTGATTTTGGTGTGAAACATCCTGGGAGGAAAGGTGGGTACGCTGGAGAGGCAAATGTCGGGCAGAAGGGAGCACAGACTCACCTTACTGCCAGCGGTGTCTGAGGGTATCAGGGCTTGGTTTGGGCTATCTGCCCACCTGTCTATCTGTCCAGCTGTCTATCTATCTCTGTCTCTATCCATCTGTCTGTCTGTTCATCTGTCTATCCATCTGTCTGTCTGTCTGTCTACCTATCATCTACCTGTCTATCTATCCATCCATCTATCATCTATCTATCTGTCTACCTTGGACTTCTCCACGGGCCCAGTGGTAAAGAATCCATCTGCCAATGCAGGAGACACAAGAGACCTGAGTTTGATCCCTTGGTCAGAAAGATCCCCCTGGAGGAGAACGTGGCAACCCACTCCAGCCAGCATTCTTGCCTGGAAAATCCTGTGAATGGAGGAGACTGGCGGGCTACAGTCCGTGGGGTCACAGAGTCGGACACCAGTGAAATGAATAAACAGACATCCACGCATCCATCATCTCTTTGTCTATTACCTATCTATTATCCATCTACTTGTCTATCACCTCTCATGCATCTTTGTCGATCTATATACCTCATCTATCTGCCCCTGCCACCTATCTAGCATCAACTTATCTACACCTGCTTCCTAAGTCACTTCAGTCGTGCCTGACTCTCTGTGAGAGAGAGGGCTGCAGCCCTCCAGGCTCCTCTGTCCATGGGAGTCTCCAGGCAAGAATAGCGGAGTGGGTTGCCATACCCTCCTCCAGGGGATCGTCCCGACCCTGGGATCGAACCCAGGTCTCCTGTTATACTGCCTGCAGATTCTTTACCACTAAGCCATGGAGGAAGCCCCGAATTATCTATGTCTGTAATCTATCATCATTTATCATCTATCCATTAAGCATCTATCATCTAATAGCCATTTATCATCTGTTTATCTATATATCTATCTACATCTCTATACCCATATCCACAGAACAGCATTCAGTCATGTCCGACTCTTTGCAACCCCAGGGACTATACAGTCCATGGAATTCTGTGAGCCAGAACACTGGAGTGGGTAGCCTTTTCCTTCTCCAGGGGAATCTTCCCAACCCAGGGATCTAACCCAGATGTCCCACATTGCAGGTGGATCCTTTACCAGCTGAGCTTCCAGGGAAGCCCGACAACATTCATAGATAACACTTATCATTCTTGCTGGGTCCACAGAAATAAACGTGAAGCTGAGTCCGATGACAAGGGCCACAGGAGGAGGCACTGCTTCCACAGTGACCTCCACAGAAGGCCTGGGGGCCATCCGCGTTTTCAGGCACCCCGCTCCGCCCTCCCCGCACGTAGCCCGCTGGCCTGTACCGGGCAGCGAAGCTGCGTGGCAAGCGTTACCTCGCAGCACACCCCTCTGTTGGTGCGTCACCTCTGACCAGTCACTGGGGTACGTTTCTGAGCCGTAGGCAAACTCCAGAGCTTTCACCCTGGCCCGGAAGGAGTAACACTTCTCAGCATCCAAACCGTGGATGGTGATGTTGCAGGTTTCTGCCTCTGCGGACTGGAGCGGACAAAATGCACGTGGTGACCCCTGGCTGACGCTTTACCCTGACGCGTTCATCTTGTGCCAGAGATTTTGCACCAGATTCCTGCTTCCAGGGCTTCCTTCTCCTGTTTCACTTCTCTCTGGGCAGGCGTTTATCCTCAAAACAACAGCAAAAAAAAAAAAAAAAAGCAGAGACAGCTCTGCCCTTCCCTCCACAAAGGAAATAAATCCACCATAACAAATATGATGAAAGATGCTTTTGAAGACTTTCTAAGCTCTTCCTTTTTACAAAAGTAATTTTTTAAAAAAACAATGTATTTATTTATTTGGCCACATCAGATTTCAGTTGCAACAGGCGGGATCTTTATTACAGAACAAGGGCTCAGTCACTGCCTCCCAGGCTGTTTCCCTGACGCACGTAGAATCCCGGGTTCCTGGATCAGGGATGGAACGCACCCACATGGCCTGCTTTGCAAGGCGGATTCCTAACCAGGGGACCGCCAGGGAAAGTGAAAAAGAAAGTGTTAGCCGCTCAGTCGTGCCCGACTCTCTGCGACCCCGTGGACTGCAGCCCACCAGGCTCCCCTGTCCACGGGATTCTCCAGGCAAGAAAACTGGAGTGGGTTTGCCATGCCCTCCTCCAGGGCATCTTCCCGACCCGGGGATCGATCCCGGGTGTCCTGCATTGCAGGTGGATCGTGTAGCATCTGAGCCAGCGGGGAAGCCCACAACCACATGAGCGAGTGCATAAAACAAGTCTGGATATCTGTGTCTCTCGGTCTCTCCATCCCGGGGGATGCCTACTCACCCCCGACCCGAGACGATGTCCCCTCACCTGCCACTCGGAGTCAAAGATGGTCTTGTGCTGTATTTCATACTGGAGATCGTTGTATCCCAGGTTGGAGCAGGTCACCGTCACGGCTTCCTCCCGCCACTGGAAGCTCAGGTCGTCGGGGGATCTGGGTTTCACTTAGAACAAGAAAGAGCACAGTGACTAACGCCTCTGCGAAGACAAACGTGGCCCATCTCTGAACCCGCAGCGGTCCCTGGGCTTCGATTCACTTTCCTCTCCGCCTGCTCCCCATCCTTTCCCAAATACTTCATGAGACATGAGGTTTCCTTGTCTTTAGCGCATGGACAGTCAGAAGGGCTAGCCAGCTCTCCAAGGACCCGTGGGGGGGGGGGTGGTCTCGTGGAAAGGAGCTCCCCCTGAAATGGGTCGAGAAAGTTTTCGGGATGTGTCATGAAACGAATTGTGTTCCCACCAGAAAAAGACCGCCTTGAACTCCCGGCGCCTAGCCCTTCACGATCTTTGGGAAGAGGATCGTTACAGAGGTAACTGTTTAACATCAGATGAGGTTGTAGAGACTGTGAGATTGAACAACGTCAGTTAGACAGAGAGGCAAAAACATCCTATGACATCCGTTATGTGCAGAATCTAAAAGACATGATACAAATGAATGTAGTTACAAAACAGAAAGAGACGGTCTTAGAGAACGAACTTATGGTCCCCAGGGGGAAGGATGGGGGAAGGCACAGTCAGGGAGTCTGGGATGGACGTGGACACGCTGCCTTGTTTCACACGGAGAACCAGCAAGGACCTGCTGGCCAGCCCAGGGAACTCTGCTCAATGTCACGTGGCAGCCGGGGTGGGAGGGCAGTGTGGAGTGTCACGTGGAGCCGGGGAGGATGGATACGTGTGTATGTGTGCCTGAGTGCCTTTGCTGCCCACCTGAAACCATCACAACATTGTTAATCGGCTATGTTGTTGTTGTTTAGTCGGAAAGCCATGTGTGCCTCTTTGCGACCCTATGGACTGCAGCCTCCTCTGTCCGTGGGATTCTCCAGGCAAGAATACTGGAGTGGGTTGCCATTTCCTCCTCCAGGGGAATCTTTCCAACCCAAGGGCCGAACCTCTCATTGGATTCGAACATGGACCTCTGACATTCCAACCACCAACCAAAAAGAAAGGAAGAAAGGATCATTATGTCACAGAAATGTAGATCAAGAGAGGAATCTTTGGAGAGACTGGGTCACTCCATTTGTACGATGGCTCCAAACCCAAGACGCACAGTCAACCTTCAAGGTCCTTAGTACGTACAGTAAGCGCTAATCTCTAGGCCCTTGGTGAGGAGAGGCTCTGTTCCATTCCGGATGGAAAAATACAGAGGCCCATCTCCTTGTACATCCAGGAGGCACCCGGCCCTGTAACCTTGTTGAAGGACGTAGCTGGAGCAGGGTCTGTATTCCTCCTTTGTCTTGAATCTGTAATTTTAAAAAGAGAATCACTCAGTCACGTAGCGCCCTTGGGAATACCGTCCTAGGCCTTTCCTGGAGGCTCAGTGGTAAAGAATCCGCCTGCCGATGCAGGAGGCTCGGGTTCGACCCCTCGGCCGGGAGGACCCCACGAGTCGCAGGGTAGCTAAGCCCGCGAACCTCAACGACGGACCCTACGCCCTAGGGCCTGCAAGCTGCGACTGGTGAGGCCCGTGCACCCTAGAGTGTGTGCTCCATGACACGAGAAGGTCGCCCACAGCAGCTAGAGACGAGACCGCACAGCCCCAAAGGCCCAGCACAGCCAAAGGCCATAGACGTCAATAGAGGGAAAACCACACAGCATCGCGAGGGCCGTTCCTCGGTCCCGCGTCTCCGCCACGGACTCAGATCGGGTGCCGGGCCGTCTGCCCGGATGACCTCCCTCCCCTTACGACTACAGCAGGACCTGTGCAAACAGAAAAGGGCCCCCCTCTCTCTCAAGTGTTGACACCCCTTCCAGAGATCCCGTAGGGGCTGGGCGGTGGCTCTGTAAGTGGCATGCCTACCCGCGAACCCAGAACCTGTGAACAAGCCCTTATTAAGAAGCGGGGTCTCTGTGGCTGTGATGGAGTGAAGGGTCTGAGATGAGGGTCCTTCTGGGTGGGGGTGGCCCTCAACCCAGGGACAGGGTCCTTATAAGACACAGAAGGGGAAAGACGGACACAGAGGAGAAGCCACGTGGAGATGCAGGCAGAGATGGGAGGGAGGCGGCCAGCAGCCCAGGGACGGACGCCTGGAGCCCCCAGAAGCTGGAAGAGGCGGGGAGGACCCTCCCCTGGAGCCTCTGCAGGGAGTCCATCCCTGGGACCTCTAGACCTCAGACGTCTGGTTCTCAGGACTGGGGGAAGATACATTTTGTTTTTCCTGTTGTTCCAAGTTACCCAGCTTGTTGTAGTTTGTTGAGACCATCTAGGATACTATTAACAGTATCAGTAATAATCATTGTTGTCACATATCAATATCATGAGCAACCAATAAGTAGGTATCAATAACTAATTGACCTCCAGAGCAACCAAGCCCTGGATTCAAGGATGCACTTTTAATACGGATGTGCCGAAATGGGATAAGCCTTTGACAGTCTCCTGGAGTGTTAACGGGAAGCCTAAAGATGGGTTTACACTCCATCCTTAAGCCCTCAACCCCAATCTGTGATGAGATCAAGAATTATCTCCTGTATGACAGAACAAACAGCTGCTCAGGAAGAAAAAAAAAATGAGATAAAATGAAGCTATCTGGGAGACCACTTATCCATCCAGCACTTTTTTCTTTGCCCCATGAGTCTTATTTTCCTAACAAATTCATCTTAAAAGTTTCCCTCTTCTGTTCGCCTTCCCGCCTATCTCGTGTTTTATCAGGTGGCCACGACTCAAGCCCTCTCAGAACACCCCACTCTTTACAGAACTGAGACCAAATTCGTTGGAGGAAAACACCCTGCCCCCCACGTGGCCGCTCAGGTCGTTGAGTCAGGCAAGGCAGAGCACCCTGTGAAAGGGGGAAATGGGTTTTATTTGGAAGGCGGCCCCTGGCAAGCAGGGAATGTAGCTGAAGGTGACAGAGACGCAGGCAGAGGCAGCTGCTGGGACATTGCAGAGGACGCCGCGGGGTCAGACCGCTCTGCGTCTCCTGCGAGTATGCAGGTGGATTCGAGCGAGACTCAGTCATCCCTCGGTTACAAGGTCTGGGAGCTACGGTTGTGCTTGTGGTGATACCGGGGGGTCCAGAGGGCACACTCTCACTTGCTCTTACGGGTCTTCACACCTTCACTTCCTGGCCGCCCCCCATTGGTGATGTCTTCCGAGGGGAGGTGTTTTAGCCAAAGGCGTGGTTTTCCAGGGAGGGGCCCTTACTTGCAGACGGACCTGACATTAATCCCAGTGCCGGCACTTACTTGTAAAAGAAAGTGAAGTTGATCCCAGCGTATGCATTTGTGTTCCACGTAACCTGCACGGTTTCGAAATTAAAGTTGATCACCTGAAGTTCCAATGCGCTTCCTGTGCAAAAAAAAAAAAAAAAAGATAAGCAGAGAGGACTCTGAGGCGACGCTGGAAAGACTTTGAGATTTGTAAAATGATGTCAGCGCTCATAAGAATGGTAGGTGCTTTTTAAAAAAAAAAATTGATGATGCATTTTGTTTAGCCCAGTATACCCAGAATATTGGCCTTCCACGATGGCTCGGTGGATTAAGAAGCCACCCGCAATGCAGAAGTCACAGGAAATGTGTGTTTGATCCCTGAGCTGGGAAGATCCCCTGGAGGAGGAAGTGGCAACCGACTCCAGTGCTCTTGCCTGGAGAATCCCACGGACAGAGGAGCCTGGTGGGCTATGGTCCATGGGGTCACAAAGAGTCGGGCACAGCTAAGTCACTGAGCACGCGTGCAACCAGAATATTATCATTTCAACATGTTACCGATCATCATCATCATTATATCATCGAGTTATTATCTGTCTACTCTCTGTATTGATGTATCTATCAATCAACTATCAGCTGTGTCATCTATCTAGGTTACTTATCTATGTAACTATGTACAGCTATCTATCTAGCTATCTATAATTATCAAGACACGTTATGTTTTTACTATGTGCCTGGAGTCTGTGTGTGTTTCGCAATTATAACACAAGAATGATACAGTTCTTCAAAGGGAGTAAGGAAAACCTTTTATAATAACTGTGAAAATACGATGCATCGGCTGTGCGTGCGGGCACGGTGCTCAGCCGCGTCTGACTCTTTGCGACGCTGTGGAGTGCAGCCCGCCGGGCTCCTCTGAGCGGGGGGGTTCTCCAGGCGAGAATCCTGGAGTCGGTCACCGTGCCTTCCTCCAGGGGATCTTCCCCACCCCAGAAACCGAACCCGAATTTTCTGTGGCTACCGCTTTGCAGGCGGCGTCTTGACCGCTCGGCCACCGGGGAAGCTCGTGCATCAGCTTTATGTCAACTAAAAATTCTGTAAAGCAATTATCCTTCTATTAAAAAAAGAAATAATCTTTTGTTAAAAAAAAGAGAAAGGACTGAGTTGTGTGTTTGAAAGAGGTGAATCATCTGGCGTGTGAATTACCATCCCAACCAAGCTGTTAACCAGAACATCACCACCTGCCCCCGCCCACCCACCCGCATCCACCTTTTTAGCCTAGTTTCATTTCCCCCAGATCCTCCTCACATCTGACTAACAGTGGTGTTAGCAGGGAACCCCACGGAGAGGCTCTTGAAAACGGAGCCTCCTATCTCATGGACCCAGACGGTTCTGAAGGGCCTGGGGGCTTTTGTAAACATCACTTTGGTTCTGGAACCTCTGTTGTTGTTGTTGTTGTTGTTTAACTTTTTCTAAGAAAACCACCAAGGTCACGAGCAATCTGGAGGTGAACAAACATACCCGCTGCAGGTCTCCGATAGGCAGACACGTCGTGTAAATACCAAGAATTCCCCGCCCTCCCTAGAGGTAGAACCTGCTTCCCAGTTTGGAGAGTGTATAGAAAAACATGCAGATGATTCAGAGGCATTTGTTCCAAGCGAGCTAGGGAGCTCAGACGGACTATGAGCCCAGCCCCGCTGGGTATTTCCAAGGGGGTGTGAGTAAGGTCATCCCGGGCGGCAGGTCGTGGGGTGGAGGCGGGGGGGGAGTCGATACACCTTACATGGCTTGAAGTGGAGTCCTGGGGTCTTGTTCCATCCCCACAGGCTGGGGTGGTTCAAGCAGCCTTGGCTATTACAGACACCACACGGGTTTTTCATCTACACACGCTGCTGCTGCTAAGTCGCTTTGGTCGGGTCCGACTCTGTGCGACCCCACAGACGGCAGCCCACCAGGCTCCGCCGTCCCTGGGATTCTCCAGGCAAGAACACTGGAGTGGGCTGCCATGCCCTTCTCCATATCTATACATACATACATACATACATATATATATATATATATATAAAATCTCATCTCGCTAGCTTCCCAGGTGCCGCTAGTGGTAAAGAATCCACCAGCCAATGCAGGAGGCGTAAGAGATGTAGGTTTGATCTCTGGGTTGAGAACAAGATCCCCTGGAGGAAGGCATGGCAAGCCACTCCAGTATTCTTGCCCGGAGAATCCCGTGGACAGAGGAACCTGGCGGGCTACAGGCCACGGGGTCGCAAAGACTCAGACACGACCAAACGACTGAGTTCACACACACACGTGCCTGCTCACACACACTCCGGCTCCTGCCCACACCACCTTCTTATTTCTAGAGCAGCTCATGAGCTCAAGGCCACAGCAGCAAAGACCCAGCAACGGCCCAAAGTAAATATAGAGATAAAATAAAAAATAGCATGTGAGGGTCGTTCCTGTGTCCCACGTCTCTGCCACGGGCTCAGATCGGGTGCCAGGTCATCCGCCTCGATGACCTCCCTCCCCTTACGACTACAGCAAGACCTGTCAAAACAGAAAAGGACCCCCCCCCCCCGCAAATATTAGCACCGCCCCTCAAATGTCAGCACCCCTTGAATAGATCCTGTAGCGCTTGAACGGTGGCTCTCCAAATGGCATGCCTGCCCGCTAACCTGGAACCTGGGAACAGGACTTTATTAAGAAATGGGGTCTCTGCAGACGTGATGGAGTGAAGCAGCTGAGATGAAGGGTCCTTCCTGGATGGGGGTGGCCCTAAACCCAGGGACAAGGTCCTCATAAGACACAGAAGAGGAGAAACACGGACACAGAGGAGAAGCTACGTGGAGACGGAGGCAGAGACGGGAGGGAGGCGGCCACCAGCCCAGGGACGGACGCCTGGAGCCCCCAGAAGCTGGAAGAGGCAGGCAGGACCCTCCCCTGGAGCCTCTGCAGGGAGCTCAGACCTGGGACACCCTGACCGCAGACGTCTGGCCTCCAGGACTGGAGATGCATACGTTTTCCTTGCAAATTCAAGGGCATTTTTGGGAGGAAAAGCTGCCTCATCAGGAGCCCAGTATCTCTGCCATCAACACGTGATGGCCTCAGATGGAAATACTGACAGTCCACTGCAGCCGTTGAGTCTGACTCTCGTTTAAAAATGGATCGACTGAGTGGAAATGGCCCCTGAGGCGTCTCTTGACACAACTCTGGGGCCTTGGGTGGGAAGAGGGGTTGCTTTATTAAGACCACGCCCGGGGAGTTCTTAGGGTCTCACATCTGTATGACCTCAGGCAAACAAAGGCCATTCATAAAGTGAGTCTGCATTTCCCAGGAAGTTCCTACCAAGGTTCTGAGTGAGCCCAGCTTCACAGGGGGATGAGCCCTCCACCCTTCCAAGGTCTCTCCACATCCCCCTGTCCTCGAGAGGCAAACCTAGACAGCGTATTAAAAAGCAGAGACATCATTTGCCGACAAAGGTGAATCTAGTCAAAGCTAAGGTTTTTCCAGTAGTCATGTATGGATGTGAGAGTTGGACCATTAAGAAAGCTGAGTACTGAAGAATTGATGCTTTTGAACTGTGGTGTTGGAGAAGACTCTTGAGAGCCCCTTGGACTGCAAGGAGATCCAACCAGTCCATCCTAAAGGAAATCAGTCTTGAATATTCATTGGAAGGACTGCTGCTGAAGCTGAAACTCCAAACCTTTGGCCACCAGATGTGACGAGCTGACTCATTGGAAAAAACCCTGATGCTGGGAAAGACTGAAGGCAGGAGGAGAAGGGGATGACAGAGGATGAGATGGCTGGATGGCATCACCACGCGACGGACATGACTTTGAGTGAGCTCCGGGAGTTGGTGATGGACAGGGAGGCCTGGCGTGCTGCAGTCCACGGGGTCACAAAGAGTCGGACACGGCTGAGCGACTGAACAACAGCAAAAGCTTACTATTGCATTTGTGCTTCAAGTGGTTCAGATTCCAGAGCTGGTCTAAACTGCACTTTTCCACCCAAACTCCAGGTGCAGGAGTGGCAGTTAGGACGAAGCTACAGGTCTCAAGGAGTCTGTGGCCACAGGCGCGCCAAGCATCGCGGGTCCTCCCCCACTTACGTCTGTCCCTGGAAGACGCGAGGCCGGACCTGCACTTGTGAAGACAGACTATGGGCACTGCACACAGCTTGGGAAATTACGTGAGTGTAATTTCCAAGGGACAGGCCGGGGGATACCCCACATCCAGGCTCCCTCCCTCTCCCCTGTGTCTGCTGGAAGCACAGCTTCCCACCACCCCAGGGCTGTAGCCCGGAAGGACCCCAGGACCCGTCCAAACCAGCCGGGCAAGAGGCCGCCTCGGACAGGAGTGGTAGCGTGCGGTGATGCCTGTGGACAGCTCAGAAGAATGTCAGGAACGTGCCATCGCCAGCTCCCACCTGGGCGTGAAAGTGGCAGTCACTCATTCATACCGAGTCTCCGTGGCCCCAGGGACTGTGGCCCGCCAGGCTCCGCTGTCCCTGGGGTCCTCCAGGCAAGCATACTGGAGTGGGTTGCCATGCCCTGCTCCAGGGAATCGTCCCAACCCAGAGACCAAACCTGGATCTCCTGCCTTGGCAGGTGGGTTCTTTGCTGTCTGAACCTTCAGGGAAGCCCCACCACAGAAAGGTAAGTATTAATTTAAGCAAAAGGCTTGCACCTCTTTGCAGGCAGCCAGGCACAGTGAAACCACCCAGATTCTCAGTTTTGTAGACACGGACTCTCGTATTTCATTTTTTTCCAGCTGAAACGAATCCTGAACACAAGAAAGAGGGGGTCCTTTACAACAGACAGACTCGGCTTTGTAGAGACTTCAGTTGTAACCGATTCTTTGAGACCCCATGGACTGTACCCCATCAGGCTCCTCTGTCCATGGGGATTCTCCAGGCAAGAAGACTGGAGAGGGTTGCCATGTCCTCCTCCGGGGGCATCTTCCCGACTCAGGGAGGGGAACCTGTGAAAGCTGTTGTCAGTTTCACAAAGAAAACTGTGAGTTTGCAAAAGACATCGTAAAAAGAAAAAAAAAAAAAAAAAGCAGAGATGTTGAAAGCAGGAGCATTTCACACAGACAGGTGGCTAGAGCTGCAAGCAGCACTTACCCGGCTTGGTTCTCCCTGACGCGTTCGCGTGTCCCAGCAAGAAGACGGTGGCGGCCGCCCAGGGCAGAAAGACACGCCTCATGGTGGAAGCTGGAGGTGGAGGCAGCGAGCAGAAGGCCGACTCCTCCAAGGGGACTTCGGCTCATGACTAACGTACGAAGGTCACCCCTTTTTTTAAAAGGCGGAAAAGAAACTGGGGAAATGACTACAGGAAACAGTCATGCTTTTATTTTAAAAGATGACTCTGGTCAGAAAGGAAAAAAAAATGCAGAATCATTTCTTCAGCCTCGCCGATGGTTTGTGCAGCCCTGCCGGATACAACTGTCTAGAGAGGCTGATCAGATAATGGATCTTGTCCAGCCAGGGTTCCCAGCCTCTGGTCGGTCGTGAGAGTCCTGTGTTTGGAGACGGAGGCCCAGACAGGTCTCATCTAGCTGATGCTTTCTGGCTGCTCATCCAGGATCAAGGAGATTTGGTCCAGTTCCTGATGGCATCAAAGAAAGCAGGGGACATGATGATGTCTGTGTAAGGGACAAAGTTGGCTGGTAGTTCTCTGGGTCGCAATGGAAAATCACTTCCCAGAGGTTATCAGGGAGATTTGTCAGTGGGATTTGTCCTCTCAGTAGGCTTTGTCCTGCAGGACAAAGCCTGGGTTGACCATCAGGAGCCAACTTACCCTTCCCCCCTCCAGTCATAAAACCAGTCCATCCTAAAGGCAATCAAACCTGAACATTCATCAGAAGGACTGATGCTGAAGCTCTAATACTCTGGGCACCTGATGCAAAGAGCCAACTCATTGGAAAAGACCCTGATGCTGGGAAAGACTGAGGGTGGGAGGAGAGGGGACGACAGAGGATGAGACAGTTGGATGGCATCACTCCCTCGATGGACATGAGTTTGAGCAAGCTCTGGGAGTTGGTGAAGGACAGGGAAGCCTGGCGTGCTGCAGTCCCTGGGGTCGCAAAGAGTCGGACACGACTGAGCCACTGACCAACAACTCACACCTGCATCCAAAAGCACTCCTGGGAGTCGGTGTTGCTGTTCGGGCCACAGTTCGTGTCCAGCTCTCTTCGACTCTTACTGAAAATAACACCCAGCGTGATAACCATCCTTGTAAAATCATGTTTAAATAACTACAAAGCCCTAGGACCTCCCTGGCGGTCCAGGGATTAAGAATCCACCTTCCTCCCAACACAGGGGTCATGGGTTCCACCCCTGGTTGGGGAACGAAGCTCCCATGTGCCTCGGGACAACTAAACCAGTGTACCACAGATAAAGATGGTGTGGGCCACAGGGCAAGACCCAGCATGTTGAAACAGACCCGATGCAGCCAAAGAAATAAATTTAAGACAAATTTTTTTAAAAAAGCACACACACAAAAACTACCAACCCCTTTCACAGATATCCACTGGCAGAATCTGTGAGCCACGGGCAAAGTGAGCATAAATTGCTCCGTTTTGGAGCTAGGACCCGAGTTTTCCAGAAGCTGACGGTGGCTGTATGTGCGCTAAGTCATCCCAGTCGTGTCCGACTCTTTTTCGACCCCGTGGACTGCAGCCCGCCAGGCTCCTCTGTCCGTGGGGTTCTCCAGGCAAGAATACTGAGCGGGTTGCCACGCCCTCCTCCACGGGGATCTTCCTGACCCAGGACCCGGGTCCCTGGCTGATGGACCTCAAATTGTTCATTGTGGTGCAGGGTGAGATTCAGGTCTTCCTGGCGCCAGACTAGGGGTGCTTCGGCCACGACCATCCTTCTGGAGGTCAGAGGCTCAACGCTGTGGTCTCTGGGCTAAAATCCAGGGGTAGAGTAAGTAGATAGATAGACAAATAGAATAAGTAGATAGATAAATAGAATAAGTAAATAGAAAGAACAAGTAGATAGAATAAGTAGATAGAGAAATAGAATGTAGCTAGATAGAATAAGTAACTAGATAGAATGAGTATATAGACAGAATAAATGAGTAAGTAGACAGAATAAGTAGCTACATAGAATAAATAGATGAATAGACTAAGTAGATAGAATAATTAGACAGGTAAATAGAATAAGAAGATAGAATAAGTAGCTAGATAGAATAAGTAACTAGATAGAATAAGTAGATACAAAGAGTAAGTAGATGAACAGAATAAGTAGACAGAATAACTAGACAGATAAATAGAATAAGAAGACAAGTATAATAAGGAGAGAGCTAGAATAAGTAGATAGAGAGAGAGCATAACTCGATGGATAGTCACAGCATCCTCACGTAGGTCAGGATTCCCCAGGCTCACTCTCACGGATGCCTGGATGGATGGATGGAAGGATGGATGCCTGGATGGATGCCTGACGGATGGATGGATGGATGGATGGATGGATGGATGGATGCCTGGATGGATGGATGAGTAGAGAGGATAAGTACGTGATTACACAGTGACGCCGGTCCAGGGTTTCTCGGCCTCAGCAGTGCTGACGCCTGGGACTGGACATCTCTCTGAGGCGGGGCGTCCCGGGTCCCGGGCCCTGCGGGGTATGGAGCAGCGTCCCTGGGGTCCCACCCACCGCACGCCAGGAGCACCCCCTCCGCAACCAGCTGTGACCCTCAAACGTGCCCGGACGTCTCTGCCCACCGCCCCACCTCCCTCCTCCCTGCCTCGCGCCTCCTGCAGAGGAGCCGGAGCTTCGAGCTCTTCTCTGGGGCTCCAGCTCATCCTACGGCAACCTTGCAGTTCAGACATTTTACCCTGAAAAGGGAACAAACACCCAGGCAGAGGTGGCCGGGGCGGTGACGGGGCGGTCTGAGGTCACAGGCGCTGCTCTCCTGGGCGGGGCTGGGAATCCGGGGAGATGAGTGTTTCACAGGACCGGAGATGCGTGGTTCCCAAAGGCAGGGTCTCCCATCCTCCCTGGGGTCCGTTTGTCGTTTGAGGGAGCCCAAGGGGCATCAGAACTCACCATGTCCTCCAGCGTCCCCGGGGAAACGGTGAGAGAGAGACCGCATCCTGGGCGCGTTAACAGCTCCGAGAGGCGGTACCCGCTGGGCTTCTGCAGTCTCGGCGGGCTACCCAGGAACCTCTTAGGTTCTCCGGTCTTGCCCTTCAAGGGGACATAAACGTGGCGGAGGCGGGGGCGGGAAATAATGAAGCGAACCTCCCATCCACCCGCCGAACGTCCCCGGCTCCCTTCCAGATTCCAGGACGGAAACACTCCCTCCACGCGAATCCCGAAGACCACTGGCGTCACCTCTCACATGGATAACACACCGCCCCTCTCGGGAACCTCCTCCCCACGCCCCGTGCGTTGCACGCAAAACCACAAACCGATAGGGTACCTACCGTGCGTTTCTTCCACCGGTCAGGCGCTGGGACTGTCAGCAAGCCGAGAAAGGCAACAGGGTGGAGGTGGGAAGATGTGGTTGTCCCAGCGGAGCTAGAAACGTCCGCCGTTCTGTCTCGCGGGCCTGGATGCCCTCCTGCACACGTGGGAATGACTGGGTGGGCTACGGATGCATCTTGTGAGGCCACAACGCTTGGTGGCATAGCGGCCGGTCCTGTGTCCTGATTGACAGGGTGGGTGCGCCTGGGAAGTTCTGCTCGGGGTCGGGGGGGACCAGTCTCAACGGGAGGCTTGAGTGCAGGGCACTTGAATGTTCGAGCACCTTCACACACACACACACACACGCATACACACACACGGCCGCTGGGCTTGAAAAGTAATCCGACAGCTTGAATGGTCTCTCTTCCCTGGCTGGGAGACTTGATTTGACGGTCAGCCTGCCCGAGGGTCTGGTCACTTCGACTAACGCCCGCTGGCCAGAGGCAGTCACGGGCCAGCCCAGACTGCAGACATACTGAGCATCCTTGCGAGGAGCTGTGAAGAATTCACAGCCGGCATTCCCTGGTGGTCCAGTGCTTAAGAATCTGCCTTCCTGGAGGAGGCAATGGCAACCCGCTCCGCTCTCCTTGCCTGGAGAATCCCGTGGACAGAGGAGCCCGGTGCGGCTACCATCCACCGGGGTCCCAAAGAGTCAGACACGACTGGGCAACTAACAGCTTTCACGCTTTCTTTTTGTTTAAATAAAATAGTGTTTCCTCTCCCTGAAAAAAAAGAAAAAAGAAAAATTTGCCTTTCAGGGCAGGGGACATTCCATCCATCTCTGGTCTCGGTCTCGGGAGTGATACTCAGCAGGGCAACTAAGCTTCGAAGCTGCTAGAATTACTGAGCCCATGTTCCACAACGACTGAAGCCCACACACCCTAGAGCCTGTGTTTGGAAACAAGAGAACCTTCCGCCGTTAGAAGCCCTCTCACCACAACTAGACAGCCCCCCCAACCCCATTCACTGCAAGTAGAGAAACCTTGCAAGCAGCGAGGAAGATCCAGTGCAGTCAAAAAAAAAAGAAAGAAAGAAACACATTAAAAAAAAAAAAATGAATCTACACCCATACGGATGTCTGTTTGACAAGACTCAGCATGCCTTCCAAAAAAAAGACACTCGGGTCTTGCATGAATTCAAGATAAGACGGGCTCAAGCTTATCCCGCCCCGCCTTGCACGTCACAGCCTCCAGCCCGCACGTCGCTCTGTCGGAACGCGCCGTGTGACACGACCTCTTATCTCTCCTCCAGCCCGCCAGGTTGTCACGGCCAACTATCACAGAACAGCCCCACGCCGTGAGCCCTGCGTGGTTTGCTATCAGATCCATCTGTCGGCTTTGACACTCCGGTGAGAACTGTTACATAACACAAGGGTTTCCCCGCCCCAGAAGCAGAGAGCAGAGGCCAGTCTGTACGGCACAGAGACGGTGGGAAGCTGCCTGCTGTTTCATCTGTTTGGAGAGAGATTTGAAGATGCACAGAGGTGATGATCAAGAAACTTGGAAAAGGAGGGATTGGCTTCAGGTGGTGCGAGAGTGGAACTCGGGGGTCATAGGGGGTCTGCGCCACGTAGACCAAGGTTGTTGTTGCTTTTGAGTCGCCAAGCTGTGTCTGACTCTGTGAGATCCCATGAACCGCAGCACGCCAGGCCTCCCTGTCCATCACCAACTCCCGGAGCTTACTCAGACTCACGTCCATTGAGTCAGTGATGCCATCCAACCATCTCATCCTCTG